TATGTAAGGTTTGCTTTCGTGTTAACTGATTTTTTTTTTTTTAGTTTTGTCAGTCGCATTTTATAGAGTATTTAAATAGCGTCTAGATAGGATGAGCTAAAGGAAATGCAGCAGTAGCACCCCACCCTTATCCAGAATGTGTGTGCTCACATTGAGAGCAGCGCTCACAGGGCTCCTTGCACATTCTAGAGGATCCCCCAGAAGACTGTGATATATGTATGGTGTCATCTCCTGTGAGGGAACCTGGTTCCTAGCGTTAGCTCTGCCGGTCAGTTGCTGTGTGACCTTCAGCAAGACCCTTCACCTCATTTGCCCTCAGCTTTCTTGCAAGTTAATGGAAATAACACCAATAATAATCTTTCTCTTTCTTCCTTGAAAGATTACTGAAATAATTGTAAATTTGCTTTGAGTTGCAAAAACCATTTACTAAGCATTATATGTATTCATGTATATCCAAGTGGATATATGTGAGTGTGTGTGTGTCCATGGATCGCACATGCATACATTTGCTATTCACATTAAGGCAGCAATCAAGCAAGCAGAACTTGAGTTCTTCGGTGGACGCACTCTCGCTGCTTCCATATGTCTGCCATACGGCACGTGGCACCTTGTGTGGTCTTCGTAGGTCGTTCCCCAGGGATCTTCTGCATCTCAGTAAGTTCCGTCTCCTCCTCTTCAGCAATCGTCTTTGATTTCTCTTCCCCCCACACCCCCCATATCCAGTCTATCTGTCGCCAATCCTGTCAGCTTTTTTTTCAAATGTATCTCAAACCCACCCACCTCTCCCACCCTTGACCAGACCACCATCATCAGCCTCCGTTGACCGCCTCTCTGTAATGCATTTTCCACATGGTAGCCAGAGTGACCTTTCACAAATGTAAAACACATTAAAATGAGCCCTGCTTAAAACTAGCCAGTGGCTCCTGGTGCTTTTAGCATGAAATTAAAACTCCTAACCATGATCAACTTGGCTCACCTTCGTGCCGTTCCTCTCTGCCTCGTTCACCAGACTCTGGTGAAGCTGAACTTCTTCAGCACACCATACTCTTTCTTACCTTAAGGGTTTTTAAAATCAGACTTTTTGTAGAGCAGGTTTGGGCTCACAGCAAAACTGAGCAGAAGGTACAGAGAATTGTCCTGTCTCTCTTCTCTCCCCTGCCCCCTACCCCATGCGCATGGGCAGGCGCTTCCCCTGTGGACATCCCACACGGGAGTGACGCTTCTTAACAGCCGATGCTCCTACACTGACACACCTTTATCACCCAGAGCCCATAGTTTACTTTAGGGTTCACTCTTACTGTTGTACATTTTATGGCTTTTGACAATGATACAATGTCATATATCTGCCATCATATAGTATTGTACAGAACAGTTTCACTGTGTAAAAATCCTCTGTACTCTGCCTATTCATCCCTCCCTCTCCCCAACCCCTGGCAACCACTGATCTTTTGACAGTCTCCACCATAGTTTTGCCTTTTCCAGATGTCATACAACTGGAATTAGACAGTCTGTAGCCTTTTCAGATTATCTTCTTTCACTTACTAGCATGCATTTCAGCTTTCTCTCTGTCTTTTCATGACCTTAAGGATTTGCTGTAGCTTTTTGCTCTGCGTGGCTTTTCCTGTCCACCCTATTTAACTAGCCTCTCTTATCATACTGCCCTGTTGTATGCTCTTCATAGCACTTATTCCCTTCTAACATGTTCTTTCTGTTTACTGCCTGTCTCTCCAGCTACATCTTAAGCTCTGTGAGAGTGGAGGTCTTGTCTACCTTATTCCTGACTCTATCCCCAGTACCTAGACTAGTCCTTCATCCACAGTAGGTGTTCAGTAAATGTGATGAATTACCTGGGTATTAAGAACCTTTAGCTTTACTCTTCTCTTCCACCCGGTTTTCAAGGTGACAAACTCTTTCATTTACACTGCTTCGGGTTTTGTTCGGAAGAAGAGGCAGACATTCATGTTAAGTCACTGAGTCTGAGAATTATTTCTTGTTCACCTTTGGCTTCTGAAGCTTTCTTGGTTGTCTGCTGAATTTAATGGGTCTCCAGGCGCGTAGCAGTTGGTAGCCTTGGTGGGAATCAGTCACATCGCAAGAGAGAACAGAGGCAGTAGAAAATGATTAAGGGAAAATAGAAGAAAAGTATGATTTAACATTTATTGAGTCACACATTGTAGTCAAAGCTGTGTAAAACATAAAAGCGAATTAGGAGACGAGTCAGATATAAAATGAGTGAGCACACACAAGCACACAAATACTGCAGAGAGGAGGGTATTTCTTCAGATGCCTTCTCTCATTTACCAAACTGTAGTCTTATCAAAATATATAGGCTAGTTCAGGAGGGAAATAATGCATCCAGTGCTTGTGGCCCAGTCATGCCCTATGGGGCACAGACAGGCCTGCAATTTCATTACTGCTTTTTAAAGAAACTTTCTCTAAGGCTAACAGACTTTCTGGGGAGGCCAAAGCAAGTGAAGCTGAGTTTAATGTTCTCATTAAAATGTTAAAGAGGCTTTATTCATGAGCGACTAAAGCTGTAATTGCTTTATCCTCGTAAACTATGAAAATATGTGGTGATCTCTTACAGAGGCATCCACCCAGTCCCCTCTGTCTGGAAGGTCTGTTTAATGGAGGGCTTGGCTGGATCAAGGAAGGGACTGAGAAGATTTCCCGGATTATATCCCTCAGGGACCTAGTGGAAGTGGTGGCAAGGGATACTCCTTCACTGATCTATTTTCATTCTGTAGCTCTTTTTTTTTTTTTTTAATTTTTTTAATGCTTATTTCTGAGACAGAGAGAGACAGAGCATGAGTGGGGGAGGGGCAGAGAGAGAGGGGGACACAGAATCCGAAGGAGGCTCCAGGCTCTGAGCTGTCAGCACAGAGCCCCACGCGGGGCTCGAACTCACACACTGCGAGATCATGACCTGAGCCGAAGTCAGATGCTTAACCAATTGAACCACCCAGGCGCCCCTATACCTCTTGTTTTGTATGCACTATTTGACTACTGGATCTGAAGTTCAGATCTGGAAATGACAGACGAACGCATATATAGGCACATGCACACAAATGTTGTGGAAGGGAGTGGTTTTTTATTGTTCCCGTAAGCACTAGCTTATTGAGATGAGAATAGAAGAAATCCAAAAATGTTGAGATATTACTGAAATTGAACGGAGACTTTATGTTGAAAAGGTGTCATGTGAATCACAGGGGAGAAGGCACTCAGAGCTGGCTTCAGGAGGTATCAGATCCCTTTGCCATTCTTAATGCCCCAGTGCAAAAACATAGCTGTAGAACTTTAGGTAGTGAATACAGATGGCAAATACAGCTATTTTTTTTCTTTCTGGAAATGCTTGTCATACTGTATGGATATGACTGAAAAAGTAAAGCTGGGATTCTTGCACAGCTAGGAAACCATATTGTTGGAAAGCTCAAAATGAAATTTAGGAGGTAAAAAAGAGTTAAAACACGCTGTCTATTCTTCAATTCCCTATTATTAGAAAACCCTATTTGTTGAATGGTAACAAATCGGGGCCTCATGATATGCAGATGTAGTAAGGTAAGTAATATCTAGGGAGTGTTTAAAATTTTTTTTCCCACTGATGGGTCAGGTAGATGTTTTACTCTGGGTCAGATTTAAATTAAAATACATGTGTCCTAGAGCTGTCAACGTTTTTTTCTTCAAGGGGTCAAATCGTTCTCTTCAGATGAGAGTGCAGGGCCTTTGTTAAAAGCCATTCAAGTCTGAGGGAGCAGTGGAGTTGAAATCACAGGGGGTTCTTCCTATGTGATAGATTAGATAGGTTTCTGAGCGGTTCTTTTCTGGAGGGGTTATCATCTCAGCCTGATGATGTTAATGGTGTTCATGTTAAAAAGAACCTCTTACAGTTTTTGAACATAAAGAAAGTGAATTCCAACTTCTGGAATGCTGTTGATTGTGTGTAATGAAATACATTTTTAAAAACCTATTAAGAGATTCAGAACAAGATGTAACAAATTGCCACTGCGGGCCGGGCCAGCTCTGCCTCTTGCTCCTGCTTGATTGATGGGGCGTGACTTACAGTCTCTGTTTTGGGGAATCACTAATGTGGTCCCTGCGTCCTGAGGCGAATCCAGGGAGATGGGGACTCTGTAGGTTCTGTTTAGGCATAGTTCAGCTTGTCATGTCTCCTTTTCCCCTTATCCAAGGTAGGATCACAATCTACAGTGAACCCATTCTGGGCTTTCTTGGCTTGCCTAGAAGATCTTAGGGGGATTGTGCCCAGGTCTTCACTCCCTAGTGTCACACAAAAACTGCTGAAGAAGTGTAATGGTATGATGAGACCATCAGAAATAAAAAAAAAAAAGTGTGTATCATAGGAACAAATGGAAAGATTGACTAATTTCTCCCCAGCTAACTGTATTTTTTTTTGAGAACTTTTGTCTGTTTTTTAGAGTTTTTATTTCTGCTCATTTGCTATTAGAAAGTTGGTTGTCACATTGGGCTATTCTGTGTCCCCATCCAACCAGCCCCTCTTCCTTTTTACTAGATCTTGGAGGTGAGTTACATCCAAGATCCTATGTTGACCATAGGATTAGATGACAATGCCAAAAACCTCAGGGAGTTTTCCAAAATGCTTTAGTGTATGACAGTGTTTTCCTCCAGCTACTTAGTTCTGTTGTGTCTTAGGCTTGTATTGATTGGTCAGTTGGTTGTTTGATTAATTGACTCATTCATCCATCAAATATTTTGAGAGCGTATACTATATGTGAGGGGCATATGCTGCATCTAGGGAATGGGATAAAAGACTGGGATTTGTCTACAAAGTTTTGCTGATAGTTCACAGGGGTTGAAAATAGAGTGCAATGCCCAAAGAAAACTAAGTTGCTTTTCTGCAAATCAAAGAGTATGTGTGCAATTGCCATATCGACAGCCTACTCTGTGGCATTCTCTGTAAGTGCGTTTCATGTGGGAAGTGGTACCAGACATTTTCTATATTACAACAATCTTCATATATTTATTAAGCTGTAACTTGTAAGGCTTCCCGATGGGGTGTTAAATGAGCCTTGTTGCGTGCTGCATTGTGTCTTTGTCAAGAAGCACTCAGTTAACTCTGACCTGTGTCATTCATCTTCCTTGGGCTGGTAATGAGGCACATTTCAGTCATTCCAGGAGGCTTTAGGGCATCTGCACAAGGAGAAGACTAATGAAAAGGTTGGATTTATGGGGGGTTGGAAGGAATGCACTTAAGGAGAACCAGGATAGAATGAAACCCTTTTGCCTAGTGTGTTTCATATCTTTGTACCCATTCAGCACAGCAGTAGAATAATCCTGAATTGTTCTACATTTTAAAACCTAAGAAAATGCTAGATTACTACGTTTTTAAAGTGTTTTTTTCTTCTCAACTGTTCACCTGGCATGTTAGGAGAATCTGGAAACTCTAAGCATAGCAGTGGAACAGTAGAGGCAGCCAACAATTCTGTCATTTCTAAGGTGTATGCTTGGGAGAATTGGCCACAGACTGATACCAGAGATTGACTCTAGGAGAGGAAAGAGAGAGGAGGGAAATAGAAGTGTGGGGATATTAGTGGAGCAAAGGGAAGAGAGGTCAAGGGAAGAGAGAAGAAAGATGTTCTGTTGTCTTTGCTCCTGCCCCTTATCTCCTTCTCACAAAATAAGGGTGTGAAAAAGCCGGCAGATTGAAAGGAAAAAGATGAGAGTTGAATTAGAGACCAGTGGGCTCCCAGAGGTACTAAGGGAGAAGGAAAATGAATGAGAGAAATCACAAGAATAAGTGAGAGGGAAGGGGGCAGGATAAGAACTATATAAATGCAGGGAGAAGAGACAGGCAAAGAGAGGGGTGTGCACACGGTGGTCACACTGAGACCCTCGATTGCTGCCAGCAGTGCACCTGCCAAATAGCCAGTGTCCCTCACCTAAGACATTTTACTGACTTTTGTATTCAGTTTAATGCAATTCTCTTTATGGTCCCCAAATTGCTGGTTGCGGTTTCGTTGACACTCTCTGTGATCAAATGGCAAATGTGGAGGCACTGTTCTGTTATCCCTGCCCCCTTGCAGTGTTCCGCCAACTTCCGCGTTAGTGCTTCTTGTATTTGATGTTTGCCATTCCTCCTTGTCTACAGGTAGGAGAGTTGAAAGGGAAAAAATATTCCTAAGGCTGCCACGTTTATAGCTCATGCATACAAATATTCAAAGCAGTTGAACAAAAGCTATAAAACCAGAGTCAATTTTTTTTAAGTAAGGTAGTTGACTCTTTCATTGCTGGTACAGGGACTTGCCCTAACCTAACACCACACTCGCTATGCCTACAGGTGGCTGCTTCTTGAAAAAATGTTCATCTTTGTTTGTTTGTTTGTTTTTCAAAGCTCAGCACAGGAAGCTGCTTTGATATTCCAGATCTGGGTCAGGTGCTTTCCAAGTGTGTACCAGTGCCCAACTCCATACCCTGCTTTCCTGTGCTGACCTTTCCCTGTTAGACCTATAACTCTGTGTTGTAATCTCTATCCTTCTACTAGACTTTGGGCTCTTTGCACAATGTTAGTTATTGTGAATTACCTAAGTAGATATTCACTTACTGGTTATAGAAGAATGCATGGCCTATGATGCTGGTCTTTTGAGTATAAAGCAAAATCCTTCTAGAATTATGCTATGCTTTTAGGTATCAGTTTACAATCAGCCTACGTGTTCTGGAAAAGAAAAGGTGATTTAGGCAGCAGGAGGGGGTTTCTGGGGAGTTTAGTAAGTCCCCAGATTCTCGCAACTATAGTAAAGGGATTGTGATTTCATTAACTCCTGGCCACCGGAGGACAGTCTTGAAGTTTCAGGCAACTTCCTTCTTGTGATTCTAGTAATCATAGGCCAGATGTACTTCAGAACCATGCTTCTCAGACTTTAATGTGCATGGGAATCAGCTGAGGTTCTTGTTAAAATGCAGATTTTATTCCAGTAGGTTTCAAGTGGGTTCTCAGGGACAGTATTTCAGGCTCTTGGGTGATGCTGAGGTTTCTGCTCTATGGATCTGACTTGAGTAAGAGGACTTCAAAATACTTTCTAGAAAATAAAGTTGGGATTTATTCTATGAAAAGATCTAGATGCATTTTTATAGTTTTTACAACAACAGATTTTCTTAGAGACAACTTAGAAGTATTTGTTATTTTATCTTAGAAATTTGTAAGAGGTCTTTCCCACACTTAAAAAATAGTAATCTTATACTGATCAGCCACCCAAACTGGTTTTGAATGATAGTTCCCTTAACTAACATACAGCTTTATTCATTTAGGCTTTCTTAGATTTGGGAGGCCCTGGCTCTAGCATTGGCCCTGATGCAGCTACTTTGGCAACAAGGACTATTTTCAGAGCAGAAATCTTCTCCGGAAGATTGACAGTTCATAGGCTGTGTTTCTGTTAAGACCTTCACATTTATTGATCGTTACCAGGTTAGCACCATGCAGAGACCTTCTCCAAGGGCAGTCAGTTGGAATGGCTAGAAATGCAAAAGGGCAGTGTTCAGCTTGAACTTTGCAAGTGAAACCTTGCATCTGCTTACATGTGTTCAAACAGCTCTCTGAATTTGATGTTTAGAGTTTCTTCTAACAAGGTGGCCTTTATTTTACAGGTCCTTTGCAGCCAGCATGATATCATATCTATAAGACATGGAGGAGAGAGAGCTCACCATGCTCAGGTAAAGGGACGGTGTGGCCAGGGAGCAACAAGTAGGACTAAGGACAGGTTGTTTGTCACTGTAGGAGAGGTGATTCAGCTTAATTATACCATTGACGTCATTCTCTTACGTGTGTTTTACTCACGTCTGCCTGGGGTGCAGAGGGCCTGTTCTGGGTGAGCTCAGTGAACTAACATGAATTGGGGGAACATCTACCAAGTACCTACAACAGGGCCTCTGTAAACAGCCCGTGGGGAAACAGGACTAGTCACGGGAAATCTCCTTGCATTTTTTACAGAGTCAACGTAGAATTATTGTTCATCTTACTAGAATTATTCATCAACATAGAATTATTGTTCATCATACTATTGTTCGTCTTTATTACCCTATCAGAAGGCTTTCATCTTTTCAACATGTATGTAAATATGTGAATATTGAAACTCTTCTAATTAAAGTCTTATCTCTGTCCCCTTATCTGGAGTTGCTGTTCTAAATATCCTTTGCATCTTCCTTTTAAATAAATGCATGTCTCACAACTTTGATTTGCCCAAATAGGACACCAAGATTAATTTTCCATTAACCTTTATTGCTTCTGTTTCTTTCTAATCATCTTTTTAGAGGATTAAAGAGTTCCCATTGGGTCAGCCTTTATATAGGATATAAATCATCTTTTTCTTTGACGGTCTTTATGGAACTGCTGTGGAAGGTGGTGATCTTTGGTCTGGTGACTGCACTTGCCCCTGTAACTGAGTCAAAGCATCTGTAGAAAGACCCACATGGAGAGTTCTGTTGACTGGCAATTTTTTCATTGGCCTCCCTTCTTTTGTGACCCGAGTTATATTAGTTACCTCTGGTGGAAACTAACAAAAATAACAATAAACTATGTGGCCTAAACAACACACACTTACACTCTTACAGTTCTGGAGGCCAGAAGTGTGAAACCAAGGTCTCGGTGAGGTTGGTTTCTTCTAAGAGCTGTGAGGGAGAATGTCTTCCATGCCAGTCTCCTAGCTTCTGGTAACCTCAAGTGTTTCTGGTATATAGATGGCCATCCTTCTCCCTGTGTGTTCACATTGCCTTCCTTCTACATGTGTCTATCCCTTGTTCAAATTTCCCCTTTTTAGAAGGATACCTTTCATACTGGATGAGGGCCTGCTTTAATGACTTCATCATAACCTGACCGTCTTCAGAGGCTCCACTTCTAAATCAGGTCACATTTATGTGCATGAGAGATAAGGACTTCAATAGCATTTTGGAGTACACATTTCAAAACCCATCACACTGTCAAAGGAATGGAGACTCCATTCGTTTTGGCATCCCTTCAAGAAGCTAGCACACTGCCTGTTGCTTAATATTGGTTGGATGAGTGAAGGACAAAGACCATAAAGGCCCCGGTCAAATTTAAGTTAAGAAATAAAGCGCAAGGATCAGACCCGGATGGGCATTATGCTGACCCTTGGCCTCAGTGCATGCTTGCTTTCAGGACATTCCAAGTTAAGCAACATCACGGATGTGCTGAGGTTTTTCCTTTAAGAGTGATAGCAAATAACAGTTCTTACAAAATAGAGCCCTCGGTGTAAGCAACTCATGCTTTGTCATTTCAGGCCGAACTGCCAATTTACATGCTGCCTCTGTCAGCATGTGGAGATATCCTTCCCGCTAATTCAATACCATTTAAATCATACTTAGTCGGGCTCTTCTTCCTTCCCAGTCGCGTTGCCTTGCGCTTATTAAACGTAACGTCGTGTTCCCTAGCGCTAATCCATAAAGGTTATGCTAAGACACATCTGCTCTTGTTGTGTCAGCTGCCCCCTGTATGCTTCCTTAGCTCAAAATGATTGAAAGTTATCTTTTGAGTGTTTGGATTTGAGTGTGGATCAAATATGAGGATCCTGGTCTCCAGGTATCACTTAAATGACCCGTTCTTTAGAGCTGTTTCTTTAGAAAGCCCCTTTTTCCTGTAAGGGAAGAGCTTTCTGGCCATGTCTACCTTACTTCCAGGAAAGGATTGCTTTTTATACCCGAAGGAAGCCTCCTGCGGAGAGAAGCCAAAGGCCAGTGAGGGATTTCCACCTGGGGGTGAAGTAAGCATGTGTAGGAGCCTGAGAATTGATGTCAGCCCCTGGGGTAGTGTTACTTGTTGGCAGGCCAAGGTCTAGGAATGACTGAGTGCCTCAGGCCCTGGCCTTCCCTGAGGACTGCACAGCAGGTGGGCTGGAATAATTGACTTACAATCTTCTCAATCCTTTGGATGCTTTGATGTTCCTGGGGGTGGGGCCGCAGTCTGAGTGGTTGCATTGGCCTAGACAGCATGGATTTATAAGTTGATGACAGGCAGTAGAAAACGAAAAGGAAAATAAACATTCATTTTACCATTTTTCACACCGACATTAGTCCGAAGAAAATTGGTAAATCAAATGACAAATATTTATGGAGTGTGTGATGCAGGCATGGTTCTACCAGATGCTGTATACGGATGTATAACTTCATCCTGGCGCCTGCACTGCTTACCTGGCTTTTCCATTTTGTTCAGGAGCCTACTACCTTTGATTAGAGGCCTTCTATCACTTACCATGAGAGTGTCTACAGGGCTTCGTTAAAATGAAGACAACTGGCAGGTTCAGTTGGTAGAGCCTGCGACTCTTGATCTCGCAGTCCTGAGTTTGAGCCCCACGTTGGGCGTAGAGCTCACTAAAAAATGAAAACAACCAATTTATATTGTTACACAGCGATCGATTCAGAGTGATGATGGAGTCGCCCGCCCTTTTGATGTGGAAATGGTGGGGTTCAGAGCAAATGGTCAAGAAAGAATTCTTGAGATGTCTTTGGTGCAAAAAGTGGTTGGCCCACGGGCAAAGAGAGCTAGCTGTACTGGGGATGTGAGGAGTGGCTGATTATATACTTGGAAGTTGGGAGGGGGTTAGGGATAGCGTAAGTCTCTAAGGACATTTGGGAGCAAAGTTTCCAGGAGCTTGAGGGGGCTAGTTATTGTTAGGAAAAGGTCATTTATTACTGTCTAATAAAACCATAGTCATGAGACCCTTCAGATGTATATCAGGGGGCCATACTCTTGGAGGATGATTGCTAACATATATCTTGGGGGGTAGAGATAAAGGAACTTTCCAAAGGAATTTTTACATGTTAAAGAAGACTTATAGGATCCTGGAGGTTGCGATTATGTTTAAGCTAAATTTGCCTTTTGCCCTTAGCAAAGTATTAATAGCAAGGCAGTTGAGGTCCTAGAGGAAGGTCACTCTGCCTGTCTCAAGGACTTGTCAATGTAAGTTGTAAGGAAATTTCACTTTTTTTTCTTTTGCCTCTGTTCCCCACATCACTTTGGCAATTATGTGTAGAGTTCAGTGAGCAATTGCATTTTGGTCATTAAACTGTCCTTAAATATCTTGCTGTGTACTCTAAAGTATGCACTACTACAGTTAGAACATTCTAATAAATCCTATTTTAATAGTTAGGTCATTTTATGTGTGCCTAATACTTCTCTACTATTAAAGAGAAAATAAATGAGAAATAAAACCTTAAGTGCGTTGAAAACTAAAAATGAATTTATTGTTGCTGAGTCTTTTCCCCACTTCCATTTTGCGTTCTCCACTTTCACTAATCTTAGATTTTTTGGAAATTCACATGTAATAGTTTTATGGAATTGGTAAAAATATATTCATTGTTAAACTCTGATTTTCAAAAAAGGGAAAATAATTTTCACGTCCTTTTAGTTGATAATTAACGTGGTAGTTTTTTTTTATACCTCTGAGATTAGAGTGTTATTTATGATACATGGGAAATATTCTAATTAAAGAAATTATACTTTGAATCAAGACTCTATCAAACTTCCACAGAAAATGTTTGCTCATGAGTAATTTAAAATAGGAATCTTAGTGTTTGTTCTGTCTGGGTTCTTCTCTGCCTCTCTCTCCTGATGGTTCCTTCTTTGTTTCTTTTAAACCCATGAGTTTATGTTCAGTGTTTTTAAGCTGATAAAGTGTAAGCAATGAAGAAGGGCATTGTGCTCCTGGCAGAGAACTCGGAAGCTTGGTGTCCTCCTCCTTATTTTGCTCACCCTACATTTAGTCATCACTAAGCTCTGTCAGGTTTCTAGAATTCTTTCATATTTTTACTTTCCTTTTTCTTTACGTCTATGGACATCCCTTTCCAGGCTTTTCTTTCATTTTGTTTGTTTCTTTCATTTTGTTCATACAGCCACTCATTCATTCATTCATTCATTCATTCATTCATTCATTTGTTGTCCTTTGTACGTGTGCCAAAAATTGCTCTGGCGATAGCATCAAGGGTATTATAATTAGGAGATTATCCTGCAAAAGTCGTTGCTCTGATGGGGCTCCATGGTAAATATAACTTACACATGGGAAGAGGAGCAACTGATTTGGCTTGGGCCAGTCCAGAAATACTCTAGAGAGAAATCGGCCTTCGGGTGGAGATTGGAACGAGTAGAACATTGCCAGATGGACTAGTGTGGTGGAGAGAAAGCGTTTCAAAGGAGACAGAGGGCGGGTGGCTTCGCACAGAGCTGTGCTGGGTGGAGTGTGTGCTCCTTGCCATTTGGGTGTAGATGGAGCATGAGGTGGGACAGAGGATGCGAGGCTAGACAGGGAGGCAGGAATCACACCTAGAAGGTCCCCTTAACATGTTGCTGAGCCTGCCTTCCTGTCTCATGTCTACAAGTTGCAGTTGCCTTCAGTTCATTGTGCACATGGTGATGAGGCTGACCTCGTGTTAAGAAGTGCTTATCTCCTGCCCAGCTCCTGCCTGGTCTCCTTGCTTCCCTAGGGAAGCCCAGCCTTCCTAACTGGTCATTTGAGGATCTCAGCCATTTCTCTCTTTTATTTACTTTGAAAATCCTTGACCCCAGCTAGATTTGCTGCCTTGCTTTGCACACAGTTTGTCCCTTTTTCTTCCAAGCTTCCCTTTTCCAAATCCACCCATACTCCACAATCCCACTCAAATTCATATCCTTTGTATGAAAATTTTCTCCACTCATATGCAATTTTACCCCCTCTGAACTCCAGGGGAACTTTTGAGGGACTCTTCCCATCACAATTTCATATGCTTCTTCATATCCCCCATGTTACTTATAATACTTTCGGAGAACCATTGCGTGGTGCAGGGAAGGGCCACCTGCCTATTACATACCCTGTCTATGCCAAAAGAGCAACTTCTTGCATAGAGCAGGCATCGCATTGATGTTTGTTAAAAGAGTAGAGAGAGGGCGCCTGGGTGGCGCAGTCGGTTAAGCGTCCGACTTCAGCCAGGTCACGATCTGGCGGTCCGTGAGTTCGAGCCCCGCGTCGGGCTTTGGGCTGATGGCTCAGAGCCTGGAGCCTGCTTCTGATTCTGTGTCTCCCTCTCTCTCTGCCCCTCCCCCGTTCATGCTCTCTCTCTCTCTGTCCCAAAAATAAATAAAACGTTGAAAAAAAAAAAAAGTAGAGAGAAACAGAGTTCCTTTAATTTGTAAGGCTCTTACAGAGGTGGAACTGAGGGATTGATTAATTGTCATATGAAAGAGGCAGTGGTTAATGTAATGTCCAGATGAAACTCTTGCAGGGCAGAATAATTGTTGGTGGAAGGCAGAAGGATTCCATTCAACAAAAAGCAGAATATGTATAGAAAAGAAACACATTCTGGAGACTAGGGCTTAGACACAGGAAGAAGAAACTTAGAAAGCCATTAAGCCATATGTGAGTGGTCTTGACAGTGAATGACAAATGACCTAACAGGTAAAAGCACCTATATTGCATTAGGATGCTCTGCATCTTTATATGAGATGGCCTCTGGAAGACCTGATTCAATTTAAGACTCCTCAGTTGCAGATCTGGAGACAATCACAAATTCAGAAATATATTTATGAATGTCTGTTGCCACTGAGCTCAAAAGACCATAATCCTATTACTTGTGATTTTGAAAAGGGTAAACATGAATAACTGAAAGGAGATATTGATTAAAGAAGTAATACGAACAGGAATAATGGAATTAAAGTAATTGAGGCAATATTGGGCCTAATGGACCTTGTTCTCTTAATGCCTTTCTTCTGCTCTTTGTATTGAGTTGGCCCTAAAGTCGATTGGACCATGTGCACAGAAAGAGAAGGACGTAATGGAAGAGTTAGTATTGGTGTCTATAAAAAAATCAATCTGTTGTTCTTACAGAAGAACATCAGTCAGTCTGCGAAATCGATTAATTGGATTTTTTTTACATTTGGCTTATGAGATAATGAGACACATGACGGGAAAAGACTACATGCCTTGCACATAGTAGATACTCAGTAAATGTTTCTTGAATTAAAAACCAACGGGTACCATGGATTTAGTTTACAAATAACTTCAGCGTAAGCCCTTTTGTCAGTAGTAATTCCGTCCGTCGTTCCTTTGGCTTGACTATCCGTGGTACTGTAAATTTGGATTCCTCAGTTTCCTAGGATCTCTGAAGTGAGTTCTCTCGCATTTCTACTGCGAAGCCGTCCAGGCCAGCTTCATTCAATCGGGGATCTCTGCATGTCTTAGGGTCCGAGTTATTTTCTGTGGCTAGACTTTCTGCCCCATCGTGCCCTGGCAGTTTACATTGTTTCACACATCGTTTTGATGAAGTTACTCCCTGTTCAGTGTCTCCGAGTTCATTCCTCACTCAGACTTCAGCACCTCTCATCCACACTTGCCTTCCCACCACCTCCTACCCGGATTCGACGGGGAGGACAGTTTTGTTTTCATTTTCGAACATGGGCAGTATTCTCCTTGGAGTCCTTCCTCTCATAGCTATATATGTCCAATTAAGAGTCAGTTCTGCCTCAGGCAATAGTTATATTCCTTCAAACTGTGGATTACCAAAACCTGTTATGAAGACAATGATTTCAGTGGGATAAATGGCGTTAGAGACTACAGACTTGCAGGTGCACGGCCACAAGGTTATTTTACCTACAGTTATTTCAGTAATACTGGTGTTTTCAATCTGTATAAGTCTGCAACCTCAAAACCAGTAGGTCACTGAAAAAAAGTACAACGTTTTACTATATCTCTTCTTACAAGTATGCAGTGCACTAAACCGGTACTGAAAAAAAAATTATTTCAAACCTTTATGAGCCACTATGGTGACAAACAGAGAAAAAAAGACTTAAAACCGCTGTATTGTAAGCAGAAGAGCTTCTTTTTTCCCTTATGCCAGCAGCCTTAGTCTGCAAAAATAAATCTCATTGTTCAATCAATTGATCACTTTGTATTTCATACACATTATGCAAACTCCACAGAAGAAATGTTTTTAACGTTTATTTTTCGAAGCTGTGTCTCAGCCCTTTTTCCTCCATTTGGCGTGACACTTGCTATTCGACTCTCTTGCCTGGCAGTTTTTTTCCCTCTGAATACTCTCTTGTTGGCTAATTATCGATTCCAGGATCTCTTTAGTAGTTCACGTTTTTGAGAATTCTTACAGGTGTTCTGAAATAGGGGCATACTTTTATGCCCAATACATACAGTGCCCAATACATTGTTAGAACAGTGAGAAGCATTAGTTTATAAGAACAGGCAATTATCAAATTCAGTTCCACCTACACCCCAGTTGCTATTTTTCCTACCTCGTGTTCCTCCTGAACATCGAACCTTACTGTCTTAACGGTGAAGAAAAATTGAGTAATGCCCGTTTCAGTGTGAAAAAATGAGGAGTGGCTGACAGTTTTCAGGTTAAAGACGAGTACGTGTTTTAGTTCCTGGCCCTTCCTGAAACTCCATTAAAATGACTTTTAAGGGATTTTTTTTTTTTTTAAGGCACACACCCATAAGAACAAAGAAATGAGGTTAACAGCCACAGCATTTGGGAATCTGGGATACAGATGGATGAATGTTAGCATATAGAGCAGGCCTGAGAAAGCAGAATTTTAATCTGGCAGGGGAGAAAGGAAGAAGGAGCCCAGTTTACACCAATGAAACCTGCAAAAGCTCAGGAATTTTGAGCAACAAGAACCCTCTGGAAATGGGAGTGAAGAAAGGGTTAACCTTAGGAGTGTTCCGCTGAAAGTTTAGATCTGCTCTCAAACTGTATACATGTAGATAACTGTCCCTCTTCCCCTCCAACAGAGCAATGGAGATTTTTTTTTTTTAATGTAGAAATGATAAAATAGGTTTCTGGGTTAGCAGATATCAGGGAAAGTTAAAAGTGGTATTATATAGTCTTGAAATCAGGGAAATTGCATTGACTTACCAAATCCTGACAACCACAGCAGCTACCCTCTTATGCCCCTTAGCCTGAGAGCAGGCAGGATGATACCCTACCTGAAGGAGGCTCCAAGAGACTTCCTTGGT